TAGATTATGAAGAATTTAAAAATTAAGTGGTGGGTTTTAGGTATTTACTGTACTATTATTTAAGATTTTTATGTCCATCTGATCATTCTGTAATAAATGGAAAAACTGATTTATTTATGTAATATAAGGAATATCTAGGAAGACTTAGAAATAAAACAGGGGGAAGAACACAGTAGCTGCCCAAGTTATAAGCAGACAGACAAAACCCCATGTTGTTTTTCCCCATGGATAGCAGAGATGCTCAGGGCTGTGGCAGGAAATATTTAGCTTAGATCTTATAAGGAATGTCCTTCTTAGGGGACTGTGCAACTGCTAGCCCTTCATTGTCCTTACAAGCTCCTCAGATATTCTCTGTCTAGGATGGTGAAACATCCTAGGGACAATGGCTATCCCTTTGGTGGAGAGAAGAGGCAGCAACATGGCTTCTCAGACAGACCCAGGGTCTGTCTGCTGAAGGTCGGTGCTAGGCAGGGATGTAGACTGGGTTCTGCCTGCAGTTGGTCCACTGGCCTCCACAGGTTCCCTTTGTGGATTAGTCTCTGTCTTGCATCTCACCAAGAACAGTTCCATCAGAACTCTAAGCACAAGGCGGAAAGGGATCCTGCAATTCACGGAGTCTAGTTCTTTATTTTTTTATTATTATTTTTTGGTAGTACTGGAGATTGAACTTGGGGCCTCATGCTCAAGTGCTCCACCCCAGTCCTTTTGCTTTTAGTTTTTTTTTTTCAGATAGGATCTCACGCTTTCATGGGACAGCCTTAGTCCTTGATCCTCCTACCTTCGCCTCTGGAGTAGCTGGATTTATAGGCATGAACTTCCATGCCCTGCCCTAGCTCTTTATTCTTCTGGGAATGAAAAGTATATACTGGCACTTACAAAACCATGGGGTTCTCCATGAGAAACAATCTTCATGTCATTGGTTAGGCAAATTTCTGTGATGGTGAAAAGTAATTTATGCGAAAGATTAGTTGGTGCTGGCTACACCCAGAACCATATTGAGAATATTTAGGCTAGTGGATAGTTCCCAGTGTGCCAAACACATAACACCTAGGAATACAGTCTATACAGTGTGACCTTGAGTAATCTGGACACTCCCAGATGTAACTCTGGAATCAAGTGCCTTAATGTCTCCATACCCATAGGCTCCTCCTTGGTAGAGTGGTATAATGACATCTCTCATAGAATTTTCTTGGAGGATGAAATAACATGTAAAATGACTGGAATAGGGCAGGAGGTGTGGCTCCAGTGGTACAGCTCCTGTCTAGCAAGTGTGAAGCCCTGAATTCAAACCCTAGTACCGTCAAAAAAATTGGAATGGCATATAGTGAGTGCTCAGTAAATGTGGACCATTATTATTTAGCATGGCTGCAGTGTATCTTATTTGCCAAGCTCTGTACTTGTTATTTTCCAACTGCTCAGGTACCTTAAACAAATACAGTTACATCTTCTTGGTTTTTCTAAGTCACCCAGCTGGAGGGAGTTCTGGGCTTTCATGAGTTTCCTTCTTCTCTAGACTCATCACAGTATTAAATTGTTACATGAGAGGACTCTGACCTTGCTTTTGGGTTCTAGTGGTGAGGAGCCAATGAATCACACTATGGAGATGGCCTTGGAGTCTCTCCTCATCTTTTCTCTTGAACTATGGGTATGGGTAATGACATTCATGGACCACAACTCTAGAATGCCAGGGACCTTGCTGGATTTTTGAGTAATGCCTGGACCAAGACCATGGAAAGGGCATTTTTAGGAGACGTTGTGACTCTGTGTATCTGGTACAGACCTGGTGCACTTGGATTGCATGCCAGTTTCTAGAGAATGTTGAAATGTGGAGTCCCAACTATTGATCCATTAAGGAAAGATTTCCCCTCTCCTGAGTGAAGCTTTGCAGCTTCTCCTGAGGCTCATTACAACACTGTGATAACAAGGCCCAGCCACTTCTGAACCCTCGTTGACTGAGTTAACTTTAAGATTGGAAATTCCAAATCCCTTTGCTATTTATTGTTCTAAGTTTAGGACTGGAAGCTTGCCCTCTTTTTTTCCCCCCAGTTGCAGAGCATAGTAACTTTGGATCAAGTTTAATGAACCTCATTGAAGGAATGAAGGAAAAATTGCAGGTAGGTTCCTTCCAAGGGATAGGCCAGTGGGATTTTGGACACAGGAAGAAGCCATGTGCATTGGCTACAATGGGCCAGGAGTAGACCATGCTCCTGGAGCTACAGGGTAATTTCCTTCCTGTTCCTTTTTTAGAAGTCTCACCTGCCCCTCAACCTCTTCACCTCCATGCTCATTGAGCTTTCTACACTATAGGGGCCTTCTTGCTCCTCAGCCACACCAATTCATGGCCATCCCAGGGCTTGGGCCCCCACCTTTGTGGCCTCTGCTGTGTCACCTCATTAGATTTTTTTTTCTTAGCATCAAATGTAAAAAACCCCACTTTCTTGTTATTTCCTGTCTACTTACTCTTCTTCATTTTTATTCAGAGCACTACTTGGTATCTTAATTGCATATTCATGTTTGTTTTCTGTACTATAACACTCCATGAGGGCAGATATTGACCTTGTCATTCTTCTCCCACCAGCATAGTATCAAAGTGTCCATCTTTGCCATTGCTGTTACTGAATGTTATCAGTGACCTTCAAACTTTTTGTCAATCTGGATGTAAAAAATAACATCTTGTTATTGTTTTGAATTTCTTCTATTACCAGTGAGGTTAAGCATCTCTTCATATGTTCTTTGATCAGTTGTACATCTTCTGTGAATTATTTATTCACAAAGATAACCTTTCTTTTTCTACTGGGTCACTTTTCCTTTTCTTCCTTCAAGATCTTGCTGTGTAGTCCAGGCTGGCCTTGATTTGTGATTTTCCTGCCTCAGCCTCCCAGGTAGCACCACTATGCCTGAGTCTGCTTTTCCTTTTCTGATTGCTTGGTATAAACTATTTTCATTGCTTATCAAAAGTCTACTATTTTGCATACCCTTCAACCCTGCAATATTATATGTAGGAAGGAAATCATTGGTCAAATGGACAAAAATGTATTGACCATACATTAAGTATTTATATGTAGCATACTTTGATTGTCTTCACCCCTTAGTATCCTTTTTGATGTAAGACTTGAAACTTTGAAACTACTACAGGAAAACTCTGGAAGATATAAGCATAGGTAATTATTTTCATATATACTGTGTACACGCATGCCCACAAACACACATATGAAGATAGCAGAATGTAACTCATTACACACTTTGAAAAAAGCGGGGAGAATAGGGGAATGGAAATATAATGGAGGGGGTGAGATCTTGTTCAAAGTATATTGTACACATGAGTGGAATTATCATAATGAAATCCTCTTGTGTTATTAAAGTATGGTAATTCAAAAATAAAAATTTAAAAAGAAAATATGGTATGTACCATAGACTGTTACTCAGCCATAAATAAAAATGAAATTATGCCATTTGTAGGAAAATGAACAAAACTGGAGATCATTGTGTTGAGTGAGATAAACCAGACTCAGAAAGCCAAATGTTCAAAATATTGTATGTTCTCACTCATTTGTGGAACCTACATCTAAGGTAAAGATGATAATAATAATGGGACATGACCCTAACAGGGGTACTGCCAAGAAAAGGGCTCATTTTTCAGTGTGAGAGATTTGACATTCATTCCTACCCATACTTTGTTTTTTTTTTTTACAATAAAAATCTTTATTTAGGTTTGGTCAGTACAGGTAAGGTATACTGGAGCCACAGAGCAATATGCGCTAACAGGATACAACAGTTCATAAAAACTGAGTAACTATGCACACAAATTCTTAAACATTCAGTCACCTAAAGATAAATGCACAGATGTATGGTGGAAAAAACTGTATCTAACATTGAAACTACTATAGGACTCCATCAACAAGTCCAACTTCTAGTGATAAAAACTACTGTACTGGGCAAACCTGGCAGTCATAAACCCACATCTACTCTAACAAGTCTGAATGGTGCGTTATGTACATAACAGCATGGATAGAATGCCCTCACACAGCACAGGTTCTAGATAGACACAGATACATACAGATACCATTGTTATACTTCATGGAAAGATCCTACCCATACTTTGATGCAGCTATTTTCTGATTCATGAAAACTTCTTTCCTCCTCTGCAGGATCATTTGAGATAAAACTGTTGGACCTGCATGTTCAAGAATTCCCTGTCTCTTGGGCAATTTTTCTTGGAACATTTTGAAATCTGACTTTCTAAAGTCTACAGAAATTATGTCTGACCACCTTTCTTTAGCATTCTAGTAAGTGAAATTGTCAGTAGGGCAAGAATTTACTGGGTGTTCTGCTCCCAGCAGGAGACTTACTTTGGTTCCCTGATGCTTGGAGACCTAGGGCACTGCCTAGTAACTTGCCTTTGACCAGTTCTGCAATTTGAATTAAGAAAGCAGCCTTCATGTCCTCTGATGATCTTAATTCTGTATTCCTATTCTGCCAGGTTTCCTTTTCCTTTCCTCCCTTGCCTTCCCTTCCCTTCCCTGCCTTGCCCTCCCTTACCTTGTAGGTCTGTGGCTTTAACTTGGGGCCTCAAATATGCTAGGCAACTGCTGTATTACTGAGCCACATCCACTTTTTTTTTGATAGTACTAGGATTTGAACTCAGGGCCTTAATTCATACTAGGCAAGCAAGTGCTCTTCTTGAACCATATCTCCTGCCCTTTTTGCTTTGTTTTTCAGATAGGGTCTTGTGCTTTTTGTGCTGGGCCAGTCATCTTATCTATGCCTCCCATGTAGTTGGGATTGCAGATATGCACCACCACACCTGGCTTGTTTGTTGAACTGCGGTTTTGCTAATTTTTTGTCTGGGCTGGTCTCAAACATCAATCCTCCCAATCTTTGTCTTCTGAGTAGTCTTCCTCTTCCCCCTTTCTCCTTCTTCTCCTTCTAGTGTCCTCCTCCTTCTTACCCTTCTTCCCTTTCCTTCTTTTTTTTTTCATTATAGTTCATCTGAGGCCAATAAATATTGGATCAGGAGTCATGAGCTCTCTCTCAAAAATCCCTGCTCATGAGTTGGGCACAGTGGCATACAACTGTAGGTCCAGCTACTTGGCAGGCTTACTTGACTCCAGGAGCTCAAGACTAGTCTGGGAATCACAGTGACACCCTGTCTTCAAAAAAAAAAAAAAAATCCTGTTCCTGTTCCTGTTCCTGGACACTTCCACACTGCATATGCTATCAGCTGCTGCATCCTCTTCTCTTTTCCAAATTCAGACTCTTCAGCCCTATGTTCTTCAGAGTTCTCTTCAGCTACTGGCGTGTCCCAGGTTTCTTCTGCCTAGTCATTTGCTCACATGTCCCAACTAAAATGGGGGGTTGCTGAATTGTAACAAACTCTACACCAAGGACATCCTCCAGGGAGAAGGAGCCAATTATTAGCAAAGCAAGGTCTGCAGATCTCCAAACATCCAGCAAAGTCACCAACCAAGGGATGAAGTCTTCCTAGGTCAGGAGTGGGGCAGGGAGAAAGGACTCTGTGCACCTGTGGGCATCAACGCATCTTCCTTAGTGTTCTGTCCAGGAAGGAATTATTCTCACCAAAGGATCAGGCTGGCTCTGTCTTTCCTCCTCAACCGTAGTAAAGAGAGATTTAGGGGATGTTGACAAAGACTTTTCTAGCATAATAATGCTGAACTTAGGCTATGAAAAACAGCTGTGGTCTTATAAGCTGATGTGTGAGAATGGAGAGAGGTATTCATCAGGATTTCCCCTCATTTTTGGTGATGGAACCAGATTGTATTTTTAGCATACATACTTCATGTCTATTCTGAGGAAGAAGTTGACTTTATCACATTTTCTAGTAGTCACTGAACAGTGCAGCATCTCCCAGGTCTATCTGGAATCTCCTTTTAAATTGCTAGACTTTTGGAGAGCCCAAGTTTATGGTTTGAATTATAACCATAAGTTTTTAGAGGCTACCTGGAATGGTGTTAATTATGTGGTGTGTTCATAGTGAGTTCCTAGTCCTAGCCCTGGGAATAATAGGCATGCCCTTCAGATGGCGTGTATGTGTGTGTGTGTGTGTGTGTGTGTGTGTGTTGTGTGCACATGGGTACAGTAGTGACAACAGGGCAACCTGAGTGCCCTTCTTCAGGCTCCTCTGCTCCTGAGGAGTGTGTATTCTGAGAGTTTTGGAAAAGTTGGATCCACATATTGTTAGTCTTCCAAACAGAAGTGATGCTGGAGCAGGCACGATGAACTTTTGGAGGCACAGGCCCTTTACAACGAGGCTTTCTGGGTCAAGGGTCAGAGACACGGAGTTCCTTAGAGTGGTGCCTACAGACCTGGGGCATCTCCTAGATGATGTGTTTAAATCAGATTTCATGGCCAGGCTCCATTCAGATTTACTAACTGAGACAGAGGAATACAGCAGGAATCTGTATTTGAAAAAAATACCCCCAGTGTTTTGTTAAGTGAACAGCTTTACTAACTACTGTACTGCCTCTTTGGGCCCATACTTCAGGACGGTGGTGGTATAATTTGATGTACACATTAAGTACTTTGCATCTTTCTCCTCTCAGTGCCCACTAGCCACTAACCAGTCCCAAACTATCAGTATCTCTGGCCTGGACCACTGCAGCAGCCTCAAACTTTTGCAGGGAGGATTTTGTCTCTCTGTTGGCTGTGTAATGGAGCAGCCGGAGTGGCTAAGTCAATCTGTCACTGATTCTGTCATATTTGCTTCCCCACCCTCACCCAAGTTCAGTTCCTTCCTATGCTTTAGAATGAACACATGGTCAGAGGTCTGTGTGAGCAGGTCCCTACTGACCTCCCCAGATTCACCTCAGAGTCACCCCAATGGGCCTTCCCCCCCATCATTCAGCCTCAGCTGCCATCACTTCTGCAGATTATCCCCAACTCACAGGCAGCACCTTCCAGTTACCTGTCTTCATTGGTGTTCTTAATTGATTAAGCTGTCTCCTCAAGGAGGCAGGGACCATGTCCTTCATTATTGTGGCCCTTTATGTAATAAGCTCTGCCCTCTCCTCCATGCAGCAATCATCAGAGAAGAACAGGGTGCTGGAGTGGATCAGAGCTTTGCAATTATCCCAGGAGGCATCTGTTTGTCAATTTCTTTGCCTGTTTGATCATCATGAATATAGAGTACTCTCTTCTGTTCAGAGATGGAATCCTGGGCCTACTTGGAGTTAGACAGCACAGAGTAGGCACTGTTGGTAATGATTTGAACACTTTTTTGAACACTAGGCTATATCTCATTTCTCTTGACTTAAACATTCATGAGCTATGTGCAAAATGTGCCCCTTGTCCTTAGATAGCTATGTCTAGGGAGGAAAGATGGACATTAAAGTTTACATGTTCACAAAAGGGGAAGTTGAGTACGCCATGGGACATAGAAGAGGACATAGTCTGGGGGGTGGGGAGGTCAGAGGAAGGCTTCCCTGCATAAGGAATATCTGAGCTGAGACCCACAGGATGAGTAGGAGTAGGAAATGAACCTACTACACCAGCAGGCTGTAGGGAGCAGGGCATCTGAAGGGCCACTGAACTGAGGTAGACTGTTGAGTGGGCAAAGGGGAGCACATGGTTCTGCCTAATTCTCCTCCTGTGAATTGGGGCTTGGTCCACCATACTCTGGGTTAATGCCTCTTCCACTGTGAATGGGTTGGCTGAGATGGTCTGCGCTGGCCTGCACTCTGGAGGTAAACATGGCATAAATGGGACAGGGGGTAGCATGGAAGCAGGTACCTCTCTGGGCTCCCTTTTCTTACCCAGGTAGCACATGGACTGTTATGAAGTCAGTACCAACACTGTTGGAGTAATGCTAAATACCATCACCACCAGCAGTTTTTACTCATTTCTTTATTAATATAGAAAAGGAGCTCAAGGCAGCTGGACCAGTAGTACAAAGCACCAGGAGTTAATACTATTCTGGTGAAAGGGTTGGCTTTACAAAAGTGAAGGAGCAGGGAGGAGCTGCCCTGCTTCTGGGGCCAGGCCCAGCCTACTACCCAGAACCTCAGAGCAGCACCTGGAATGAGCTCCTGGGAGAGGGCTGACAGGTAGTTCAGGGGAAAGATGTGCTAGAGACCATGGGGACAGATGGCAAGGACAGAGGGTCAGGCTGTGAGAACCATTCTGTGACTGGTGAGGACAGGGAACTCCTGGCTTGAGATCTCCTGCTACACCATGGGCAAGGGTGCTCAGTGGGCTTTAGCTCTGGGGACAGGTAGAAAAATACTGTGACTACTACTGGGCATGGCAAATCCAGAATCCAAACGTGGTCCTGGGAATGAAGGGCCTTTCCCCCCTCTATTCACCAGGAGCCATCTTTGCTCTATACTACCCGTGAGGCGTCAGGGCCCAAGGCACAGAGGGAGGCTCAGAGGCCTCCACTGGAAGGAAGACAGGGTAAGGAAGGAGTACTTGAGTGTCCTCCAGCTTAGGCAGCCAGAACTGAGACATAGGCAGACCTACATATCAAACTAGAATATGGAGCAAGGATTAGCATAAATTCAGACACTGACCAGGACAAGACCCATGGCAATGGTGCTTGCCTCAAACCTTAGCAGATCAAGTCTGCACCATGCACTGGGTGTCAGCAGACCTGGGTTCTAGCCTTAGGTCTTCTGGAACGCATATCACACAGAGCTATGTCACCATGTCTTGCCCTGCCCTGCTTCCTTGTCTGCTATTGAGGGTTTTGGATATGACCTCTTAGGTCACGGAAGGGAACTCTGAAGAGAAATGGAGGCCCAGAACCTTCTCTTGGTAGGTAAGTGGAAACTGATCCCAATCACAGCCTGAATGGAGGTGAGGAAGTGATGGAGAAGGAAGATGTTTTTCCATGGAATCTGCCCCCCAAAACATTTCAGAGCTAAGAAGGGCTGCTGAGAGCCCTCCTCTGCTCAGAGGAAAGAAAGGCCACACAGGGAGACAATGTGGCTTGGCGCAATCTCTTCATAACCACCACTCGGGTAACAATTGGCAGGAGAGAATGGGGTGGCACTGGGCAATCCTCATGTTCTTCCCCAGGGTGGGGAGCTCAAGGCCTCTTGTGGCTTCTGCCTCCGGCCCTCGGCACAGGATCAGAAGTGCTCTTTTTCACTGTGGTCCTATCTTGGGGACAGCCCAAGACTCTGCCTGGCTGGCACATGTTAGTTGGTAAAGAAAGGACAGAGGGGGTGACTAAGCAGACAGGGAGATGAGAGCAACTCTCTGGCTTTCTCCTCTTCCTCTAGTGAGAGCAGCTCAATCGACCGAGTCACAGATCTCTTCTACCACAGCATTGAAGATGTGTGGTTGGTCGGCATAGACATGGTGTGACGCGCCCTCAATCTCCTGTGGAGAAAGGACCACAAGGGTGGGTTGCCCTTTAACCCTGACACTGGAAAGCTGTTCGACCATTTCTTCTCCTCCCAGACTTGCTTGCCTGTCCCCCTCCAGCTTTTATTGCAAACAATGAGTGCTACCTTTCTTCCTGGATCTTTTCTCTTTTTTTTTTTTTGTTGGTACTGAGGTTTGCACTCAGACACTCATGCTTGCTAGGCAGGTGCTCGACCACTTGAACCACTCCGCCAGCCCTTTTTTGTGTTGAGTGTTTTTGAGATAGGGTCTCTCGAACTATTTGCCCAGGCTGGCTTCAAACCTTGGTTCTCCTGATCTCTGTCTCATGAGTAGCTAGGGCTGTAGGTGTGAGCCACTAGTGCCTGGCTCTTCCTAGATCTTGTACTTTCCTTGGAGAACCAGTGAATCCCAATATCCTGTTTTACTTCTCCTTTGGCCATCCACTGAGTCTTTCCTCCCACTGAGTCCTACCATTGTTCTGTTCCTTTCATCCAAAGGCCCAGTAAACCAGGGCCGATAGATGGCACCCAGCCTAGTTAAGGAGAAGGTGGAGGTGTGGCTCTACTGTGCGTGGCTCTGATTTTAGGTAGGACTTATTGGGAAGGGAGGGACTAAGGTGACGGAATGTGCCTGGTTACTGAATAAGAACCTGCTTTTTAGTTGAACTGGTCTACACAGAAGTGAGACGCTCTAATTATGACATCACAGAGAGCTAACCTTTCCAATCCACTGCCTGGCCATTCCTCAGTCCGGCCATTCCTCTTTTCTACCTGACTCTGCCACTCTTCTGCAACCTTCATGTGCTGGCATTCAAGTCACAGTTTTGGTGGGCCAACTTACCATGTCTCGGACATAGGAATCTGGACGCTGCATCTTCACTTTTTTCCCCGTGCTGGTATCTATCCAGGTATTGGCCCCATAGATCATGGTAATGGGGACATCTTTTCGAATTAAGTGAATTCGCTCCAACATGGGGCGCCGGGCCCAGCCGAAGGACTCCATCATGGCTTTAAATGCCGTTTCACCACTGGCAGAAGCAAAACAGGGTGAGGCAATTAGAAAAGAAACCCACAGCAGAAGCTGTCAACTTCTCGGTCTCTTCAGACGTTGGGGTGATATCTTTGTATTCCTCTCAAAGGCTAGCACTGACTCATTAAATATTACTATGATTAGGAGAAGAGTGAAACTTTACAGGTCACACTTTTTGTGACAGACCCATGGCACTAAGAATTGGCCAAGAATGGAATGGATTATTATTTATTTAAAAAATATTTATGTGTCATGCCCTGGGCTGGGTGACAGGACACAGGAACAGCACAGCTGAGGTGCCTGTCCTTCTGGACCTCATACTTAGCTAGGAGGCAGGTGTTAAGTGACTAATCATACAATTAAAGTATTTAATTTAAAACTTCCTGAGAACTATGAAAGAGTGGTAGAGAACTATGGGAACACAGATTAGAACCTAGCCGGCTGGAGAAGGAAGGGGGAATTCATTTGAGGTGAACCCTGAAGAGTACTAGAGGAAGAAAAAGAGCTTCCTAGGGAGACTCTGGAATTCCAATTCAGTCTTGCGAGGACTGGGGGAGCAGCAATTTCTGCTAAGGGAGAAGCAACAAATGCCAATTCAATCTGCTTTACTCCCTGACCATTTCCTTAGGTAGAACTGAGATTTTATTGGGGCAGGAGTCAGCTTTCTGGGGCCAGTCTGCAGCTTTTGAGGGAGCTCAGGGACAATGCCCCCTCCTGGGCTATGCTTGTTTAGTGTAGTCACTTTCTAGGTCTCCTTTGCATGCCTAGGATGAACGAATTCTGTCACCAGAATGATGAGAATTTTTCCTTAAGACATCACAGCAAGTGGATAAGTCATGGATTTTGGAGTCAGATAAGACATGAATTTGAATACTAGCTGTTTTCTTAACAAGTCATATAACCATAACACACCTTAATTTTCTCATCTATAAATCAGAGAGAACCATACCCACTTCATTAGGTCACGATTAGGAGAATGAAAATAAGCACAAAGCTCCTTAGTGTAGGAGAAGTGAAGTAGTTACCACTCAAACATGTCTCCCTTGGCCATATTCCCTGTTTTCCAAGAGACCGATTAGAGTTACCATGAACTTGTCAGTTACAACTCAAAAACTCAGAAAGGTCTATATTGAGTGATATTATTTTTGCTTCCTCCAGGAGATGAACAAGTGTCAAGATTATATATTCTGTGCCTTAGAATGGGAGTTTGTTGTACAGAACTAGGTCTAGATGGGGAAGATTCTGAATAAAGGGCCAGAGTCGGGCCAACAGGGCCTCAGGTGGGTACAGGACTGGCACCAAGTCCACAGGGGCTGAGAGAAGCCAAGAGTGGAAGGCTAGGGTGCCTGGTGTGACTGCTAAGAATTTCTATAGCATTGCTTAACCAGGACCCTTCCATTATCTGAGCTCACATGGAATATATTCCCTAAAAGCTGTCTGGATTTGAGACAAATGCTGGACATTGGAAGGTAGATCCCCACTTTCCTCGCAGCTTTGGGCTCACATGGTGACCTGGACAGGCCTGCAGAGATGTGGGACAGTGACTTTGGCTCCTGTGGCTCAAGGAGAAGCCTCCATAATGCAGTGCACCAGCACAGCATCATGGTATCTGCCTCTCACAGGGCATGGCTATACAGGTGATTACCTGCTTGCTCCGCCCTGGCTGTCAACACTGCCAAGACTCAGGCCACCGAGGCTGGAGGGCCTGCTGGGAAAGTGAGTAGCCAGGACAGGAACTTTTCAAGGCTTCAGGGACCTGAAGCCTTGGTCTTCACCTCCAAAAGAGGTGAAGGAGTTTCCGTCCCCAAGATGAGTTATTTCAAAGTGCACATAATTAAGTTAAATGCAAACTCTTTCACGGTATGATCTATTTGTAGGAGTGCATTCTATAGACTATGTCATGTGTATGCAACGGAGTATATGCAATGTATGAGATCTTAGACTGAAAACAAGGAGGAGATCTGGGAACTGCAGGTTAAGAGACAGGCAAAGACTTTGTCTCTCTTTGCCTGTTAAAAAAATACAAGCAAACTACCACGTGCCTATAAAACCAAACCAAACAACAACAACAATGAAACATTTTTGTAGCCCTTTTTCAGTTAAAAAAAAAATCTTTAGAACTGTTTCCCAGATTCTTGCTCATCAAGCCACCTGCCTATCTCTAGGGAAGAGGGCAGGCCTTCCTCTAGAGAGGACAGCAATTTAATTAATCTATTTTCGTCTATATCCTTTTGTGCATCCCTGGGAACTGTGTAGAAATGATCGAGCCTGCTAGTTCTGTGTTCCCTCAACTGAGTTAGCACTTTGTGGAAGAAGAAATAAAGTACACACTCTGCAGCTCGAATTTTATCTCTAAACCATCCACCCTGCGCTGGCCCCAGGAGCCGCCCTCACCTGGGATTCTGTGCATTGCAGTGGTAGATATACTCTGATATGGTATCATCTTCAAAGAAGTCTGCAAACTTGCGCTTGAAGTCTGGACGGAATCGCTGCACCAGACCGGGCCCTGGGAAGGGAAAAAACCCCATGAAGTAGCAGTTTGAGTGGGGAGTGGAGGGGTAAGACTTCTGTCCGTGTTATGTTTAAACCACCAAATGTTATTTCTCCTAAGAGTTTATCTGCTTCATGCGTTTAACATTAGAGAGGCAAAGAGTGCAGATGACAAGAGTTAGATTCTTTGGTTACAGATGAAATTTAGAAACAGTCTAACATCACTGAGGAACCAAGTCATTTTCTAGGAAGTCTCAATGGCTTTTCCAACAAGGTTCATAAGCTATATCAAAGGCTATGGTTGAGATGCTTTTGTTTACATTCTGAACTATGTTCTCTTTCTCCCTGGGACCCTTATGGTCTTTTAATCTTCTGATGGTAGCAGATGAAGCTGTACCACTTCCCAAGAGCCCTCTCATTTTCAGGTCTGTAATAGGATACATGGAGATGACCTTAATGACACCACTGTCCCAGGCTTAGGGCAGTGTGTTAGAATAATCTGTTTCTTTCACCTTTCTTTATGGTACACATACGAGCAGTAGGACACCCAAAACAGACAGAAAATTGGGTCTGCTGTTAACTTATCTCTCTGTCCCTTCTTGTTTTCTCTCTGTGAAATAGCTGAGGAGGAGCAGTGAGGCTAGCCACCGGCCCTGCCCTCCCTCTTGGCATAGTCTTCCATGGCTGCCAGCCAACTGCCCAACCACAACAGCTCTGATGCCCTGTATAACCTGGCCAGGTCCAAGGCCAGAAAAGGGGAGAATGGCCAGAGAAGGGCTTCTCTTTGGAAAAAGATCACAGAGAGTCTGCTGGGGACCCTCAGGTCAGTCCTCTGTCCACTTAATCCTCTTTGACACCTGACTCCTGCTAGCCTTCCCTTCTTCCAGAATTACTAAACGTCTACCTTCTACTCAAATGCTTATTTCTCTCCACTTATTTGGAGTCATTCTGTTTTTCCTGAAGGGCCGCAGAGATAACTTTTATTTGGCCATTATCAACTAACTTGTAATAATTGACTATCGAAGATCACCATATCAACATAAGCCATCAATACAACACAGGGTCACCAATCTTTTCAATAAAGAGAATCTGCTTTTTACTGCACCAGAGAAAAAGTTACCCACAGGGAAGTGTGTGGACAGGGTGGGGTCAGGAAGCTTTTGCTACTGATACTATTCACTATGGCTCTGCCTGCCCTCCCTCTCTTTTACTCAGAAGAATCTGCTGACAGCTACTTAGTACTAAGCAACTCAGAACAGATGAAGATGTGTATTTGCCTGGAGTAGGGCATGGTTTGGAGGTTCCTGCCTGCCACTATGGTGGAGGCTTAGATTCTACCCCCTACTTTCTGGAAGTGCTGGGTGGATGGAAATGGGATCCGGTGGTGAATACTGCATCTGAATCCCTAACAGGCTGTCACACAGACTCACATATGCAGCAGAGACCTCAGAGCCCCCTCCTCTTCTGGGGGTCTGCCAAAGTATGGCGTAGCTTTTTGGTCCCATCTGTTCCTTGCAAAAGAAAACTTTTTCCATGCAGATGAAGGGGAAAAAAACAACCTTCTGAAACCTCAAAGAGATAGAGTCTAGATTAACAGCTTTAAATAAAATAAAAAGTGGTAGGCCCAGCCCCACTTTTTATGAATGTGTGGTAATGGTGGGAGATCAGGTGCAGTGAGGCTTGGTTGAATGGGACAACCTTGGTTTAAGAAGCACATTTCTTCATCTGCAGGTTACTCACCCCAGGGCCCAGCAACTCGAAGGACAGCCAGGGGATTGGAACGCCCCAGAACTGATGCCACAGCCTTGACCCAGGCTGGAGGTGTACGGATCTCACTAGGATCAGTTGGTCGGAGGGGAAAGCCCCATGGGTCCACCAGGATAAGGTGTTTAACCCTACATAAACGGATGAAAAAGGAAAAGAACACATTGCATTCACTTGGGGGTGTTATAGCCCTTAAATCAACTGGGAAAGAGAGAACTATGGGAACTGACTACTGGAACGTTCCCAGCAAGGCAAAAAGTTAGCTCATGAGGGAGGGGGTGGCTCCTCATTACCTTTCAGGGTACTTGATAGAGTAGGAAGTGGCCAGGAATCCTCCCAGACTGTGCCCCAGGAGGATCATGCTGGGGATGCCCATGGCCTCCCTCCACGTCTCTATCGAGGTCACAAACTCCTCCTCAGCCCCCTCTGGGTCCCTCGGGAAGGTTGGCCGTGAGCTTCGCCCAAAGCCAAGCAGGTCGAAGGTGTGCAGCGTGCGGCGGGCACTCAGTGAATCCATGTTAAGGATCCAGAGGCCCACCCCGCCCCCAAAGCCATGCACCATCACCAGAGGGGTGCGGTCCTTTTGCTCTGGGCTGACAGTCACCGTCCAAATCTTGTTCTGGTTTGGGAGGGATACATATCGGGCCAGGAACTTGTTCTGAAGACCTGGGGAGGGAAAAGTCCCAGAGTAAATCAGCAAGATTGTTTCCTGATGGCAAAATCATTTTGCCTGAATTACCATTCCTCAGATTTCTCTCTCCATTCCCACACCCTTCCCAACCTACCTAGGCTCTTTCCTTCCACAATCCTCTGACCAAGACTTTCTCCTTGATCAAACTTTAGACAAGCTCCTCTGAGCTTTCTTCCTGACTAGGTCTTGATCTTGGACCCCAACATGTCTTCAGCCTGCCTAGTCTGGTCTTGGCAAGAATCCTGTGAAGACTCTCCTCACTCTTTATATTGGATCAAGTTCCTCATTCCCTCCATTTGATGAGTAAGTCTTTGACCTTCCTTTAGCAAGAAATTCTGTTACGTCAGTTTAATAAGAACTCCCCTATCTTTGATGTTTCCTCTTAGTGATTTTCTATCCCCTGCTCCCCTCACCCTGCTCCTCAGTTATAAATCCCCACTTGTCCTGCACTATTTGGAATAGAGCCTGATATCTCTCTCCCCCTATTAAAATAGTCTTGAATAGTCATCCTAACTGACTTAATAAGTGTCAGAATAATTTCTTCTTTGATACTACACACTCGAAAGAATTTAAGTCCAAGCACAATTTGTAGAGGATTTAGTCTGTCAGTAGTAAGAGAGGCACCTTATTTCTCCAGCCTGTGTGTCCTTTGGGCCTGGAGTAGTGGTAACACCTTGATGCTTCAGACCTCTTACATCCATTACTCTTCATCCTGTGTGTTTTTGGAGCTTGACAGTGGGCAGAACTGTGGCCCAGCCAGATGGAGGGGGTGACGGGAATGGGCTTATTCTTCTTAGGCACTGAGGTGGGGCAGTGCTTGCTCTGCTGTTGTGGCAGTAGTCACACAACAGAGCTGCTTGAGTGAAGCAGCCTAGATCCTGGACAGAGGCTTGACAACTGTGGTGCCTGTAGCTATACTTGCTCAGGCCCAAAAAGAGAGAGTAGTCATGACTGGGGCAGTGGGGCAGGGATGGACAATCATAGGGGAGACATGGGGAGATATGGCCCACAGGTCTTATTTGAGACAATGGCTACTACAGCTTATGGGCTGCCCTGTCCCAGTGTGACACTGACCGTGACAGTCAGTATGTGTGAGTCCCAAACTACTGTAGTAACCAGATAGGTAGGAGAGAACAAAGGAGTCAGCAGTATTAGAGAATTAGAACTGCTGGTCCTCAAGTGGGAAGGTGATAAATTAAGAAGTGCTTAACTGTGTTTAGAAGAATGAGGGAGCAGGAAGAAGAGCTGGAGAGGGGAGAAGGAAGGAGGGAGGAGAAAATGTAGATGCTTGTGTGCACATGAGTGTGCGCTACCCTGCATCAGTCATACAGGGTTTGAAGTGAAGCTGTAGGGTGGCAGGACCAAGCACACTGGTAAAGAGAAGCTGAGGAACCACCTGCATGGACTATGGTACTCTCTGTGTGGACTTTTCCTTGTCACTGATGTTTCTTCCTCCCACACCACACACTCTTAGGTTTCAGTGGGCTCAGTGCACCAAGCTCTGAGCAGATTCTGAATCCTTCTTGGACCTCCTAAGGGAGTGGGGGAGAGACAAGCTGTCCCTTCTACTTACACTGGAGGATCCTGGCTTCTACATTCTTCAGCTGAGACATGGAAGTGGGGCGCCAAGTGGGTAGCCAGCTACTCAGCCAGCCTTGAGGCCTGGGACAAGGAGACACAGAGACACTTATTGGCAATACTGGGAAGGAAACATGGATGCTCTGCCTTGCTGGTGGATATAAGTGTGAGAGTACAGGGAGTTTCTTGGCCTCAGGAAGTCTATCCACTTTGATCATCAGCAATATCCTAGTTGACTGATAGACTGTTACTTTTCCCTGGTAAATGGCTGTTCACAAGAACTGTCCTTTGTTTTAGTAGATATTCAGAATACCATGCATACAACATCTTATTGGTTACAAAGCTCTTTCATATTTGTTATCTAACTTGAGCTTTCCAACCCCGCTTTGTTACTGGCTACCTAATTTATGTTCAAGGAGATTAAAAGGGGAAAGAAAGCAACTTGTAAATAATATTTCCATTATCCTTTGCCATCCCCAGGACTAGCTGTTCCCTTAGGGTAGGACAAATTCCCATGCCTCCTGCCCTCCTGGCCTTCTTCCAAGCCTCTAGAAGTATGGAACATTGTGTCAGTGCCCAACTGTGCTCTCAGGTAATCAATCAGTCTACCTCTGAACATGGAGATGGGGCAAGCAGAGAGCTGGAGGAGGGGGGCTTGGGTTCAAATGCCACTGTAGCTCACTGACAGGCCCATACTGCCTTGGACCTTGTTTCCCACACTGTAAAATAAATAGAAAGCTGGCCTATGTCCTTTTCTCCCAGGGATACAGTAAAATGCTAAGATAACCTAGCCTATTTTCTTCTTCCTACCCAATGACATTAAGTTACTGCAGAGAAGAGATTAAAAGCACTAGCTTTGGCATTAAAAAAAAAAAAGAAAGAAAAACCTTCTGGATCTGAAACACTGTGCTTGAGCAGACTGGCTTTGGCCAACTTTGAGTGTCTAGGTATGTAAGGGACCTACCTCATCAGGTGCCTGCCACAAATTAGATGTTCAGTACATTTGTTTTTACTAGTCCTTTTCCATCCTGTATGATATCTATGCCCCTTTCTCTTTGGGGGTACTGAGGTTTGAATTCAGGGCCTTGAGCTTGTGCTCTACCATTGGAGCCACACCTCCACTATTTCTCTTTTCTTTAACTTTGTCTGGAGTCAGGGGGTTCTAGGAAAGATGTCAACAGCTGCAGGAATGGCCTGTGAGCAACGGCATGACAAGCAGAGGCATTCTGCGGGGGAGCCATTATCAACATCTCTCACACACTGGGCATCCTGAGGCATGGTTAGAAGCACAGAATGTTAGATCAGTATGATTCCTTAGAAATCACCTAGCCCAGCCTCTTTATTTTACAGATGCAAACTGATGCTCACACAGCATCAGCAGGTCATACAGAAAGTTAGAAAAAGAATGGGAACTAGAACCCAGATCTCAACCTGAGTTTCTCAGCACCTCCTCCCTGGACCTTCCAGCTTCAGCTTTTCAAGGTCATACACAAACACTTAGAGTTTATAACCACACCTTCACTTGTCTGTTTTTTCAAGGGAGGTTATTATTCAACACCAGATGGCCAGAGTTCTAATCCAGTACCAAGTTACATGTGAAGCACAGGTAGGAGAATTAAGGTTCAGGCCAGCCAGGACAAAAACAGACAAACAAAAAGAATGCGAGATCCTATCTGAACAATATCTAATAAATGATGCTTCAGGGCTGGAGGCATGGCTCAAGTAGTAGAGCGCCTGACTAGCAAGTGCGAGGCCATGAATTCAAACCTCAGTACCACAAAAAAGGGAGGAAACTAATAATAGTATCTATCCATAGGATTTCTATAAGCATTAAATGAGTTAATGCATCTAAAGAACACAGAATAATACCTAGCACAAGATAAACTCTCAATAAACACTCTTTTCCCTTAGCTATATTCCAGTCTATATTCCCATTCTTTTGCAATCAGCAACTCTCAACGAGTGTTTGAGTTTGAAAGAAAAACTTGTGTTGCTGTTGGGCGTGGAACCAACTATCAAGGCTTTAGCCAAATGACAGTTGTTTGTCTCAATCTAGTCCTAGACAGACTCAGAACCCTTCTAAGATTCTACTGGAATTCCTTGTTGGTTTGAAGCCTGGGGACCAAGAACACAGATTTGGCGAGTCTCAAGCCTCAAACTTTCTCTCCACATCATAGAGATGGGGACATGTTAGATCCTGACATCTTGACCCCACATCTAGACCCTTGTAACTGCCTAAAGTAGAGCTTAGGAGAAATGCTGTTACATGGAACACTACCACAGGCTGCTCAGCAGATACTTCTTGTGGGGGAACTTTACTTTGCCTTTCTTCTTCACCAAACTCTTACAGGTAAAGAACGGGAAATGGTGCCTGACACACTGTATGGGCTCAATATTATTGGTGGGAAGTTCAAGCAAGGAGCACAGAAGTCATTTAGCCATGAACTTAACCTGGCCAGGCTGATGACTTCCATTCTGATAGTGGCAAAACTAAAGGAGTTCTGTTTTGGAGGAGAATCCTGTTCTAAACTTCTGTGATCTTGGACAAGGTTCCTAATTTCTATGGGCACTAGCTTCTTTATTTGTAAGACAGAAATAGAGCAGTACCACCTGCATCTCTTTGAGCTCTAATATTCTGTTTCCCTAAGTCAGTGTAGGTATTGCAAATTTCCCCTTGGAAGTCATCGTAGCAAGTTGCATCACTGTCCCAGGCGGTTCCTCCAGGCTCATAAAGTTTATTAGTTATTATTCTCATAATGTGAGTTTTGTCCTGCAGGTCCAAAAGGTTAAATACTGGGTTCAGGGAAGGCCCTGTTCCGGTGAAACCCAGGCTTGACTTGGAGCTGAGTCATTCTCCTCTAAGCAACTTTTCCTTGTTGCTATCAGACTGCCAACTGCTAGTCACACCACCTACAGGTGGCATCCCAAACCTGATGCCCATGGGTCAGTGGTTACAAACAAAAATCGAACAAATCTAATTCTGAAACCACTCTATTTTGTCGTTATAATAATTAAAAGCATTATTAGTCAGGACTGCTAGCGGCAACGTGTCTTGGTGGGCGAGAGCTAAAGAAACTTGCAAACCCCTGACTCCACACCAATGCCAGCGTAGTGGAGACCTCTCCCTCCCTCCTTTCCGCTCCTCCTCTTTGTCCGGCTGAAGGAGGCTTTTTCTCACCCAGCACCTGGGCCCGGGGCAAGTAGGAACAAGCACCTGCTGCTGCCCCCGCACCTGCGTCCCACAAGCTTGCTGGTGAGGCGGGGGAAGACGATCACTCGCGCATGACCACTAAAACTAACCGAGGAGAATGGGGGCGATCTCTAAGACTCAGAGCAAAGTGAGAAGCCCAGAGCCGCAGGCAGGCTCAGCCACCATCGCTCCCCAGGCTCTGCCTCCGCCTCCTGCGGGCAAAAGCAGAGCCAGGAAACGCAACCCCAGCCCACCCTGGAAGCCGACCTGAGCACGGAAAGGCGGGAAGGTGTCTAAAAACTGTTCCTCAGCCACAGACAGTCCCAGGAGCATGGCCCAGAGAGAGGAAGAGAAAGAGAGAGAGACAGGATTAACTCACTGCTGCTCCAGATCATCAGCCATAGTAAACAAGCCCTGCCGGGTCGAGCCGAGCCAGCCCATCCCTCCGCCTGACGCCAGCACCAGCTGACCCAGAAAAGTATCGGGTAACAAGGGGGCGTGGCCGGCGGGCGCTCCGCCCCTCAGAGGCGGGGCTCGAGCGCGCAGGGGGCTCCGAGCCCGGCTGGCAGCCAACAGGTGACTCTTTTCCTCTACTAGCTTGTATCCAGGCGGAGAGGACTCAGGGGTCTCACAAAATAGGACAGTAATATTGGTCACGCATTTCGGGGACAGTGTGCGAGACAGGTAGTACTAAAAATCCCAGTCACCCCTCCCCCCAGGAGCTCCATCAGGCCTCTCCTCCCTTATAATTAAAAAGTTTCAGATAAGTCTGTATGCTCGCACACTCTTTGGGGCTTCCTTTTATAGCTTTCTTCCCAGATATCCTCTCCTCCTTGGTGTTCCTTCTAGTGGGATGCTTAAGGTGTTTGTGGAGACGTCATTTGGTTGCTCCTGTAAAAGGTTTGAGAGCTTGTACCTCAAGTAGATTGCCAGAATTTGAAAATAAGATGCCTAATTAGTTTTAGATAATTTTTAAGGGTAAGTGTGTCTGGTGCACTATTTGGGACATAATTGGGCATCCTGTATTTTATTTGCAATCCCAACCAATGTGACACCTGCCAACATGGGCATTCTTCTGCTCTGAGGACGAGTTTGGCCAGACCTCATTTCCAGGGACCCTTGGTCTCCCTCAATTTGGAGTATCCTTCACCTCTGCCAAAGGAGGGGCAGCTGAAGGACTAATCTATAATAAGGCTGTGTCTGCTTGAGGTGTGTGGGTGTGGGAATGTGGGAGGTGAGGTGGCTGGCTCAACTCAGAGGTCCTGAGTGCACTCAGGCTGGCTCCTCATAGGAGCCAAATCTTAAAGCTGGCTGCCAAATTCACTTGAATTGGAAAACAGGGTCTGATATTCCTGGAACGGTCAGGTTTCAGATCATCTTGGTTAGGTTACAGCCAGACTGGAGTGTGGTGGAGGATGGGTGGGAGAATGCTGGTGTGGAGGGGTTTACCAAAGCATTTTTCTTTAGTTTTTCTGAAGTACTCAAGAAATTCTGAATTTCTTCTTTCTTTTAACACAGTGTTAAACTGATCATTACAAGAATTTAAAGTTTAAGAGAACTGGAATTTGCAGAATTTAGGGGTCTATGAATTTGCAAAATGTGGGGCAAAGTAGTAGAAATAGTAGAGGACTTGTCTCTTTTACTCATGCTTTCAACCAAACAATGTACATGAGAGCCATCTGGAAGACTTGTTGACAATTCAGATTTCCAATTCCTACCCTTAGATTCTAATTCAGCTGGTTTGGTTTGAGGGTAGAAAACTCCATTTGGGGAGGCACTACAGATGCTGGTGCACAGTAAGACTCCTTAGTTAATTAAAAGCCAATTCCAGGGTCAGAAGTGTGGGTTAAGGTCAATCTTGGCTTTGCTAATTATCCACTGTGTGGCCTTGGGCAAGTTATTGTGCTTCTCTTAATTTCTTCGTCTGACTTGTTTCTTAATTAAGATAATTAAAATAAACATTTAGTACACTTATTTCTACTAAAAATGCTGTATGTTGTTATTCAAAGCTAATCATTGTAACATTATGTTGGACCAAGACTGCCATTATCAAAAGGAAAAAAATAACTATACATTTTATCTTCTGTCTCCCTAGGCCATTATTGGCTTTATAGAGGTGGCAACATTGTATTCAGAGCTCAGTTCAAACCTGATCTTTTCTGAGGGCTTTCTGGACCACAAGTTTTGTTTTGTTTTTTCTTTAGTGATACTGGAGTTTGAACTCAGGGCCTCACGCTTGCTAGGCAGGTGTTCTACCACTTGAGCTGCATTGCTAGCCTTTGGGTGTGTGTGTGTGTGTGTGTGTGTGTGTATTTTGAACACTTTGAACCTTGCTCTTCCTGATCTCTGCCTCCTGAGTAGCCTGGACACAGAGTTTAAAAGAGACCCCTGTGACTGTCATATTACCCATTTTTATTTTCTTCATAACATTTATCACTTCTGAAATTATCTGCATACTTGTTTACTCATTTATTGCCTGTGTCTCTCTAGTAGAGACTAAGTTTCATAGGTGTGGCACAGGGTACGTGCTTAGTACTTGTTGGGTAAAGGGATGACAAGCTAACCAGGAGGCAGAAGGATAAACGATTACCTATAAAACCATACCCTAAGTGTCCAGGGCCTTGGGAGCTGTAATCTAAATTGTACTATGTAGGAAATTCTAGGCTGTATCACCAGGATAACAGAATCTCTCACTTTTTTGAAAACCTGTAACATATAGGACTTTTTGAGGCAAGGATGATAGGATAGAACTGGTATTAAAACTCTCCAGACCATATTTCAGGAGGCTGTGCAGAGAAGCATTGGTATTTTGTTTCCATGTATACCAACCTAGCTTTAAAGCAGAGTTATTTGGAAGCAGGAAATTTGAATGTATGGAAAATGCCTTTTATAACCAATGGTGTCTCCAGAACTGGGATAACCCAGGATTGGGTTTGATCTGCTAAAATTATACAAACAGGAAATGACTTCCAAAGCTTACTCTAGCCAGGCCTCTGGGAAGAAGATGTAAGATACTTTTTTCCTGCTTATTTTCAAGACAAGACACTTTCTACTTCCAAGATCTGTGATTAAAGTATCAATATGGTCTTTATGGATGGAAACTAATTTCAGAAACTTTTTCCTGTGCCTGTAGGTCAGCATTAAACATTTCAAAAGTAGGTGGAGCTGATATGCTTGCTGATAGCTCAGGTCTAACAGGAATAGCTCATTCTTTGGTTTCAAATGGGCGTTATTGCTTTTTGAATGAACTATGAACAAGGTATGACTCTTAAAATAAGCATTAGGTACTCAGTAAAAAATAGCTTCAAAGTTGCTCTGTCTAATGATAGCCATATGTGGCTACTTAGTTTTAAATTAGTAAAAAATCAAAATTTCCTTGGTAACACTATATTTTAAGTGCTCCATAGCCATGTGTGTTTGGTTTCTGCCATATTGGACTTTCATCATTACAGAAAATTCTGCTGAACAGGGCCCTATTACTCAGACACTGGTGAGATCAGCTACCTGTTTAGAGAGCCCAACATTTATTATCAAGCCCTTTCCAAAGGTTCATACTGCCTTTGTAAAACACAATATGGTGAACTCATTTTTTGGGTGCCAGGAAGAAGGCAAGACTGAGGATTTTACTGGACTCCCAAAGAGCTAGGAGGAAGGGAAATCAAAGGAGCCTGCAAGTTGTTCCACCCCAGCAGGGTCTGGAAGGGGGAAGGGATCTGGGCTGATTGAAGATATTTGCTGGTTGACTAGGACTTGGAGCAGAACTTGATACTTTAGAAATTTGACTTTGTGCTGATTGCAATTTGATTTCCCTTAAAAATTTTCTTTTTGAAAGCTGGACATTGATCTACTATTTGATCCAGCAATACCACTCTTGGGGATATACCCAAAAGACTGTTACTCCAGAGGCACCTGCACATCCATGTTTATTGTGGCACTATTCACAATAGCCAAGTTATGGAAACAGCCAAGATGCCCACTACTGACGAATGGATTAAGAAAATGTGGTATCTATACACAATGGAATTTTATGCAGCCATGAAGAAGAACGAAATGTTATCATTCGCTGGTAAATGGATGGAATTGGAGAACATCATTCTGAGTGAGGTTAGCCTGGCCCAAAAGACCAAAAATCGTATGTTCTCCCTCATATGTGGACACTAGATCAAGGGCAAACACAACAAGGGGATTGGACTATGAGCACATGATAAAAGCGAGAGCACACAAGGAAGGGGTGAGGATGGGTAAGACACCTAAAAAACTAGCTAGCATTTGTTGCCCTTAATGCAGAGAAACTAAAGCAGATACCTTAAAGCAACTGAGGCCAATAGGAAAAGGGGAACAGGTACTAGAGAAAAGGTTAGAGCAAAAAGAATTAACCTAGAAGGTAACACCCACGCACAGGAAATCAATGTGAGTCAATGCCCTGTACAGCTATCCTTATCTCAAACAGCAAAAACCCTTGTTCCTTCCTATTGTTGCTTATACTCTCTCTACAACAAAATTAGAAATAAGGGCAAAATAGTTTCTGCTGGGTATTGAGAGGGGGAAGAGGGAGGGGGCGGAGTGGGTGGTAAGGGAGGGGGTGGGGGCAGGGGGGAGAAATGAACCAAGCCTTGTATGCACATATGAATAATAAAAGAAAAAAAAAAGACCAAAAAAAAAAAAAGTGATCGAAAAGGTAAAAAAAAAAAAAAAAATTTTTTTTCTTTTTGAAAATAGTAACCCAAGACTGGACTGGTGGGTTACTCCAGTAACCAGTGGTAGAGTACTTGCTTAGCATGTACAAGGCCATGGGTTTGATCCCCAGCAACACAAAACAAATAAAAACAAAAAGGCCCGTTTTATCTGTTCTGTTAGAAAACAAGGAAAGACAGGTTTTGGTTAAATGGCAGCCAAAGTTTAAAAAGTGGACCGTTACATGCAATAGTAGAGGAAAGCAAAAGGGGAATTCTTTTTTTTTTTTAATTTTTTAACAGTTTTTATTATTTATTTATTTTAATTTAAACTTCAGTCTTCAAAACAAAAGGGGAATTCTTTTTTTTTATTTTCTCTTGGTTTTATTTTTTTTAATTTTTTAAATTTTATTTATTTTTTTTTCATTTTTCTTTTATTATTCATATGTGCATACAAGGATTGGTTCATTTCTCCCCACTGCCCCCACCCCCTCCCTTACCACCCACTCCGCCCCCTCCCTCTCCCCCCACCAATACCCAGCAGAAACTATTTTGCCCTTATTTCTAATTTTGTTGAAGAGAGAGTATAAGCAATAATAGGAAGGAACAAGAGTTTTTGCTGGTTGAGATAAGGATAGCTATACAGGGCATTGACTCACATTGATTTCCTGTGCGTGGGTGTTACCTTCTAGGTTAATTCTTTTTGATCTAGCCTTTTCTCTAGTACCTGTTCCAAAAGGGGAATTCTTAAGGCAAAAGTAAAAACACAAAGGAAAAAACTGAAAAAAACTGACTTCTTTTCTATGCAGAATTAAAAAAAAATTTTTTTTAGAAAAGTCTTTTTTTTTTTTTTTGCCCAAAATTTGGGGAATTTGTATTCCTATTAGTAAACAATGTAATTTCTTATTGTAGAGAGACATGAGGTAGAGGGGAAGCCCTCTTGCCCTGCCACTCTCCCATTGTTTTGCGATGTTGGCATGAAACTTCTAAGGTCTACTCTGACTTCAGCTTCAGCTCGTAAACCTGATTTGGTCTTTGAGAGTCATCTGACTTCCAGTACTTTTAGTGCTGTGTTTTGCATGGCCAAATTATTGTGCCTTTGTAGGTTAGCGAACTTTTAATTATTCAGAGAAATGAGAAGCAGACATAGTTCGCTATCAGGACTAGTGATAGCAAGAGGAAACATTAATTGAACATTTACTGTGTGTCAAGCACTATGCTAAGTACTTAATTGTTTAACATTATCTCATTTAATCCCCACAATATTCCAATGATACAGGTATTGTGATTTCTATTTTATAGGAAAGAAGAATGCAGACTGTCAGATTAAATAATCTGTCATGAATTAGACAACTAGTAAATGGTAAAATCAAGATTCAAATTCAGGTTTGTCTCACTCTAGAGCTTGCACTCTTATTCGCTACTCTGCAAACAAGTTTTTTACATCTATTAATGTTGTGATTTATACCCATTTAAGCCAACACTAGTACTAGCAATTTCCTATTGATATTATCAGTAACATAGAATCACAAACTGAACCCAGAACAAGACCTTTTGTTGTTTTAGGTGGTGCAGAAAAGTTTTAGTTCATTATATTAGTGTGATTTTGCAAGTCCCAGAAAAAGGATGCATTCAACAAGAGATTTTGATGATTTTCATCCTTTCTGCTTTCCTTTGGAGGGACTTCCTGTGGAGCTGCTAATGATGAGAGTTGACAAGGATTAAAGGCAGCAAAATATCAGGGGGAAACTGCTGGAAGAAGCCTTGGCGATGGAATAGAAACCCCTTGAGGAATTCACTCCTGAATGATTAAAAAGCAGCAGCAGAGCCTGCAAAGTCTGAAGTTGAACAGCAGTGAGGAAGCTGCCCTCTTGCTGATGAGGGCATGAGGAAGGTTCAGCTGTCAGAAATTGACGCTTCCCATCCTATTATAATGAATAGGAAAGTCTTGTATTCTCTTTCTCTTGCCACAGCAGCATAAGGGCGCTTAGGCTGAATTTAAGTTCATAGAGCCCTACAAATGGTGGTGGTGTGAATATGAATCTCTCCAAGTACACTGTGAAGCTTTCTAAGGAACATGGATGCTTTCTCTGTCTTCTAGAGCCGAAGCAAGGCTTTGCTCGTCATTGAAAATCAAAACACTTGTTGATGCTGGTAAGTTCTGTGTAAACGCAAATAAAAAGTGAAAGGTAAGGAACGCTGTTCACCTGCTGTTTTAGACATTTTGCTTTTTATTTATTCATTCATATGTGCATACATTTTTTGGGCCATCTCTCTCCCTGCCCTCCACCCCTCCTTCTCTCCCCCATCCTCCTTGGTTCCAGGCAGAACCCGTTCTGCCCTCTTCTCCAATTTTGTTGAAGACATAAGCAATAATAAGAAAGACAAAGTGTTTTTGCTAGTTGAGATAAGGACAGCTGTACAGAGAGATTCCTAGCATTGCTTCCATGCACAAGTGTATTTCAACCCGAATTGATTCATCTCTATCAGACCTCTTCACTACTTCCTGGTCACCTTCCCATAGTGACCTCTGTCAGTTTAAGATTACTATATTAGCTCCTCTGCGGTGGGCAGAGATGGTGAGCATTTTTTCATAGGTTTTTTGGCCATTTGGATTTCTTCCTTTGAAAAAGTTGTTTAGTTGCCCATTTCTTTATTGGTTCATTGATTTTGGGGGAGTTTAGTTTTTGAGCTCTCTGTATATTCTGGTTATCAGTCCTTTGATGTCTAGCTAGCAAATGGGCTCTTCAGTTTAGAGACCATTTCTTTTGTTGTGCAGAAGATTTTTAATTTCATGTAGTCCCATTTGTCCATCGACATTTTGCTTTTGTACCCAGGACAGTTAAAAGTTATTTACAAACTACTTGGTTATATGCGGAAAGACCTTCATTTGAGAGGTACTAGGTTTAGAAGGTCAGATTCATGTGAAATTATAAGGGCAATTATAAGCCAGAGGCAGAATACTTTTTGTTTAAAACGTGAAAAATAGTTGATAGCGTTTGTTAAAATACAAAACTTCAGAATCCTCTACAAAAGAGTTGGAGGGTAGGGTTGAACCAGTGAGGCTCTTGCGGGCCTCTCAGCGCTGACATCCCGGGATACAACAACAGGTTCAGGACGCCGGTTTGGGGACAGAGCCGCTAAACCTGGTCATGCCCTCTATGCACGGTAAGCGACAGTTCTCTTTCCCACCACCTCTATTAAGGTGGAGACTGTGTCTGATTCACCTGAAAATCCCTACAATTTAACACAAAGTTACTGGGCCACCATGGCACTCAATAAAGTTTGCTGAATGAATGAATGAATAACTGTGGGCTTAGGTTCTACCGCAGGCCCAGATCCCGTTTTCCAGTTCCTGATCCCGTAGAGATCAAGTTCCCTTCCTTCCCTCTCCCTATTTTTCCCCTCTCATCTCCTACGCTTTTCCCCACCCTCGTAGCCTGAGCAGGGATTAGCCGCGAAGAAACATGCTCTAATGAGCTGTGTGTAGACAGAGCCGTTAAGATAATTAGGGCCGGGTGGTCCTGAACATCAGGAGCTCAAGCGTTGCCTCTGAAGCCAACTCGAGCATTTACTCGTTGAGGGAGCGGGAGACGTAAAGAGGGCCGGAACCCTCTGGTTAGCTACGCGTTCCTGTTACATCTCTCCGCCTATTCCTTCTACGCTATCTTATTGCCATAGCAACATTGGGCGTCACCAACCAGACGGCGGAAATAGGACAAAAAAGTACACGTCTTCAGCACTATGACAGATCCACTGCGCAGACGCATTAACGACTTCTGGCTGTAGTTCGCCCTCGGCGGCTGCAGTCTGCGCCTGCGCACTCTTGGTCACGCTCCCTGGCCTGGCTATACACCTGCGCAAACTGGCACATGGAGGGAGGGTCGTGCTAGGCCGCGGGAGTGCGCACGCGCAGACTCCACATCCGTTGTGGACGTCGGATCCTCCAGGAGTTCGTGGAGCGCGGCGCGAATATCTAGTGTGTAGTCAGTCATGTCGGCGTCGGTAGTATCAGTCATCTCCCGGTTCTTGGAGGAGTACTTGAGCTCCACTCCGCAGCGGCTGAAGTTGCTGGACGCGTATCTCCTGTACATACTCCTGACCGGGGCGCTGCAGTTCGGTTACTGTCTCCTCGTGGGGACCTTCCCCTTCAACTCTTTCCTCTCGGGCTTCATCTCTTGTGTGGGGAGCTTCATCCTAGCGGGTAATGATTCTCTAAGCAGTCCTGATGACATTGTGTTGCTTAGGTGCGCGGCCTTGTCCTTCCTCACTCGTTCTGCGCTGCCCTGAAGCAGACCACGCCCTTGAAGTTATGGGAGAGTCTCCCACCATTCTTCTCGTGTGAAGGGGGACTTGAAGCTCGGAAAGGTTGTCACGTGCCTAATACCAAACATCTGCTTTGGAGCTCAAGTTGCTGCTCAGCCTGGTGATGAACTTCATGTCGGGCTAGGGAAAATCCCCTTCCAACTTTGAAGTTGGTAGACTTTTAAATGAAAAACCCAACCCCGAAATCGCTCTCTTAGCTTGGCCTCAATCATTATTAACCTCCAGTGAATGATTCAGAGAGAGTAAGGAATATAAATACTGATGTTTTGCTTTTGAATCATTCTTTACTTGATTTGGCATTTAGCTATTCCTACTTATTTCTTGCGGATAAAGCTATCCTACTTATTTCATTAATGTGCACTCTTACGTTATTCTGTTTTAGTTTTGTTTTTCATTCTGATTCTCGGACTTGATAACCTTGTAGACTTCCATATTTAATGAGAACTGTCTCCATAAATTTTACGTAAAACAGATTTGGTGGAGTGTGGGCGAATCCAGTTTGTAAGTGGCCATCACATAGGTTATTTATTCCACTCACTGGTAACACCTGTTACTTGACTTTGAAAACATGCCACAATTTATGTTTTCTTTTTTAGTGTATCGTCACCAGTTGGGCCACCAATTGTATTTTAAGTTGAATACAAGATGTTATGGTAAATGCTTTGGTGATTGGATCAGCTGTGTGTTCCTTGAACTCAAAGGGTTTACAGTCTGTTTGGGGCACAGACAAAATGCAGCACTAAATTGTTTGGAGACTTCTTTTACAGTGGCTCCTTTCTTAAAGTTACTGATCTGTAGAATGCATTTTACACATTCACATCGCTAGTCCAGACACAGCAGAGATACTTTAAATTTCCAGAGCTCAAAGAAGGCCTAGGATGTGGTGACTTGCGTCCTGTTCAGATCTAGAATTGCCTAATCAGCCTATTGATTGGATATTGTATCTTTGAGTTTTGTCCCGGAGGGCCAAGACCTGGTTCCCTGTGGCAGCATCTTTGCCTTCAGGATATGCTCGAGTCATCATCTAGAGCTGAATACCTTTTTGCTCCATGTGCCCAGTACTATTCACGACTAAGAATTTTATTAGCCCAGCAGAAGGAACCTTGATGAGAATCTTGGAATTTTTTTTTTTTTTTTTTTTTTTGTCGTCAGGTAACATGGTGGGAACTGAAATCCAGTTTAAAAAAAAAAAAAGAATTCTCCATACTGATGTCACACTGGCTTCATTAGCCTTTGGGGTTATGGATGGCTTTTCCAGGCTATATAGAAAAGAGGTTTTTTGAAGAGTGGACACGGACTAGATGCAGGCTAGTGTGATAAAGCCAGAGGTTTTTTGTGCAAATGACTTTATGTCAAGTCCATTTTTGAGCCTGTTGAGGCTAAAATTAAATTGGAAGACTTCTCTTTGACACTAGAGGGTTTGTTATTGAAGAGAATGCTTAATGAAAGGATATTGTTAGTAGTGAGGTTAGTATCTGCTAGATAATAGGTAATAGGACCAGAGAAATGAAAGTGGTTTCAAGAATAAAAAGGATTCATAACAATTTATTGTTGTCACAGAAAGGTATCATTTACATTAACATTGAGCTTACTAAATCCTACATCCTCTGCTGGTCCAGACAGTCATCTGGAAACTGGTTTTAATTGGAAATTTGAAATTTGTATGTTTATCCTTTGTTCTGATTGTTGGGAAAGGAAGTCTTGTACCTGTTTGTGGTGCTGGGGTTTCTGACTTTTTCTGTGGCTTTTTTTTTTGTTGTTATTGAAAGAGAATGGAGGAGGAGGCCAGTTTGGCTGGAGAAAGGGAATTGTAGAAGATTATGATGGAGGATTTTTTGTTTGTTTTTGGTGGTACTGGGGGCCTCAAGCTTGCTAGGCAGACCCTCTACCACTTGAGCCACTCTGCCAGTCTTTTTTGTGTTGAGTATTTTCCAGATATGGTCTCGATTTCCTTTTGCCTGTGCTGCCCTTGAACGGTGATTCTTCTCATTTCTGTCTCCTGAGAAGCTAGGATTACAGGCATGAGCCATGATGGAGGATTTTGAAAGATTAGGTAGTGTGGAATGGTGGAGCTTTGAGTGCTAGGTCAAGTAGTGGAAAGCATCTCAAATTTTTAAATAAATTTTTTGGAGTAAAGGAGAGACTTAAAATTGGTGTTGGTATGTAGGATGAATTGGAGGGAGATTTTTTTTGTGTGTGTGTGGGACTGGGGTTTGAACTCAGGGCTTTGCACTTGTAAAGCAGATGCCCTACTGCTTCAGCCACACCTGCAGTCCATTTTACTCTGGTTATTTTGGAGAGGGGGGTCTCACAAACCTTGATCCCCCACCCCCATCAAACTCAGTCTCCCAAGCAGCTAGGATTATAGATGTGAGGCACTTGGCTTGGAAGAATTTCTTTAGTCTGATTCCCTAACTTCTTTTTGGCAGCCTGTTCTATTTCCTCTATATGTGTTAATTTAACATATGCTCTTTGGAAATTGATCAGTACATTTTAAATCTATTTAGAATAGTGCCACCATACTTTTAAAATGCCTATTATTTGGGCCCAATAGTATGAAAATGGTGTTTTCTTCTGTTCCCTCATGGCTGGAAGGAGCTAGAGGTACAAAATTGCCATTGAAGGATATATTTGGGGAGGATCAATAGTATAGTATAGACTTTTTTTTTTTTTGGTGAGACTAGGGTTTGCACTTAGGGCTTTGCGCTTGCAAAGCAGGCACTCTGCTGCTTGAGCCACTACTAGTATAGACTTTTTTTTGGTTTGGTTTTGTTTTCTGTTTTTTGAGATGGGCTCACTGTGCAGTCCGGGCTGGCCTAGCACCTCTTCGAAGTGCTAGGATTACAGTCCTGTGCCGCTGTTATCTGCAATTGGTGTTCTCAGAGATCTTGGTCCTTGCTTTCCAAATGGAAGAATTCAAGCAGAACATGTGGGTGGGGTGAGGTAGAATAGCTTTATTGAGGGAAGAGGAGTCACCCATTCTACCAGGTGAGGGAAGGGAAAAAGGTTGTTTTTATACCACCTTGAACTCGGAGGTGGGGAGACATTACAGCGTTACCTGGTTCCTCTCACATGTGGGCTGGGGAAAGAGCCCTTGTGTGAAGAGGGGAACAGTCCCAGACTCTTACTAACCTAGCCTTATTCACCACTATGCCCAGCTAGTATTATAGCCTTTAAAAGGGTCTCAGAAGTAGAATACTTTTCTTCTTTCAGACAGATTTCAAACATCTCTGGCAGCTGACTGCTTATCTTATGGTTAGCTCTCATTAGAGGAGGACATCTGTCCCTTTTTTAAAGGAACATTTCAGTGTTGGCAGCCCCTTTCCTTTTTTTAACCTAATTGAGATCTCTGCTCACTTAAAGTGCTAGGAAGGACAAGTGGAAAAGAGTAAGACTGTCCTTAAAATAAGTCTAGCTAAAAATCAGTCTTGTTAGACAATCGCTGTACCATTGAGATATGTTGACATATGTCCCCAGCCCTTGAAATCAGTTTTTAAGTCGCTTTACAACATTGGTCTAAATTTTTTTGGGAGGGTCAGTACTAGAGTTTGAACTCAGGGCTTTGTGCTTGCTAGGCAAGCACCTGCTCTACCACTTGAGGCATGTCCCCAGCCCAATACCCCTCCCTCCTTTTTTGGAAGAGTTTTGTTGACCTTAGTTGGTAAATCCAAAAGGAGTTTGAATTATAAAGGCAAAGAGCCCTACCCCGAGTGTTTACTGTCTCGAGGGAACTATTGGTTATGTGAACTGGGATCCTGCATTTCTTTGGGAATTGTCTATGAGATTTGTGGGCCCTAGTATTATCTCCCAGCACTGTGGTCCAGGAGATTGGAAGTTTGCCATCTGCGGGCCTGACCATCTCATTTCTAAATGTCTTCATATCCATTGCTTCCTCTTTACCTCAGTGCCTCCAGCTCTCAGCGTCTCTTATCTAGACAATTATAATCCTCCTACTGGCCGCCTAGCCTGTGGTGGATCTCCTAGTCCATTTTCTACTATGTTTGTAGACTTGATGTGGCTTGGAAATCTGATTGTGTCACTACCCACATTTTCTGTGGTTCCCAAAGTAAAGTTAAAATGTTTTTCCTGCCATACAGGTTTTTTCTGTGATCTGGCCTCATTGATATTTCCAGTTTCTTCTCTGGCCTCTGCCTCCTCCGTGCTTCAGTATGATTGAGCTACTTATCATTCCTTAAACACTGTATGATGTCTTAGCTATTACTTCACTGTTTTCAAAATTCCCTCACTTCTTAGATTTCTTAGCTTAAGTGATCCTTCCTTTGGAACCCTTTCCTGACTCAGTCTGCAGATCTAGGCCTTTTGTATTCCTGCTTCTGTGTGTGTGTGTGTTGGGGGGGCTGTTGGAAAGAATAGAGATCAGACTTTTATGCAGTACTGTATTTCTTGTGCCTATCTTTCCTCTAGAAAGTGGTCCTTTGAGGACCGGTTTTCTTTCATCTCTGCAGCCTTAGTGCTTAGCTTTCTCTTTAACAATGTTTATGTTAAATTGTGAGCAAGCACGTAATAATTTATAAAATACTGAGCAATTATGTGCCAGGTTCCCTGCCATGATGCTGGAGATTCAGTCATGAAGCATTTAGACATGGTCTCTATTCTCACTGAGCTTACAGTCTAGTGGGAGATACAAGTAACTGAATATAGTGCCAGTGGAGAATTTTAGGTGAGAATAGGAACATGGTAAGCACCCACTTCTCCCGAATGTTTCCCTTAAATGTTCACTTTCCCAAAATACGCTACATAACTTGTTACTTCTTTTTTTGGTGAGACTGGTGTTTGACCTCAGGACTTCATGACCTGTCTACTGCTTCCACACCTCCAGTCCATTTTGCTCTTGGTGTTTTGGAGGTGGGATCTTGT